TAGTGTTAATGTATATAAAATAGACCAAACCCGGATATGATATTAATTTTCTCTGGTCCCAAATTAGAGCCTGTGTTAAAATAAGAGAAACCCGGATATAAGAGACTTTTCTCTGGACCAAACCCGGATATAAAGAGAAACCCGGATATAAGAGATTTTCTCTGGTCCCAAATTATATGTGTTAATGTATATAAAATAGACCAAACCCGGATTTTCTCCGGTCCCAAATTAGAGCCTGTGTTAATGTATATAAAATAGACCAAACCCGGATATAAGAGAAACCCGGATATAAGAGATTTTCTCTGGTCCCAAATTAGAGCCTGTGTTAATGTATATAAAATAGACCAAACCGGATATAAGAGAAACCCGGATACAACTTCTCCGGTCCCAAATTAGAGCCTGTGTTATATATAAAATAGACCAAACCGGATATAAGAGAAACCCGGATATAAGAGACTTCTTAAAAGACAAATACTTATATATCAAATACTATCTCATTTGTTTTTTGTTTTTTTTTTTTACGGCATATCAACCCCAATACGTTACTCACCCATTGAGGTTGATATGCCGTATGCCGACAAAATTTTTATTGCTGGTAATATTTTGTTTTGTCAAAAATCTCTTTCTGGAAATATTTTTCCATAAAAAAATGTATTGCTAGTAATATTTATTTTTTAAAAACATTGTTGGTAATATTTTTTTTCAAAAATGTATTGCTGGTAATAGTTTTTTTTTTCTTCAAAAATTTTTGCTGGTAATTTTTTTTTACAAAGTATTTCTGGTATTAAAACCTATTTTTACACTTTCATAGTATTTTGTCCAACAGTTTGGGGGATAACTATTTGCCCATAGCTGAGACCCTAACAGATGCTACCACCCCAGGTCAGGGTGGACCTGGGAACATCAGCAATTAAGAGGTGGTCCACGCTCCTCAAAACCTCCTGATCAGATATCTTGCTGTTGGACGTAGTTTATCGTTTTACCTAAGACGCAAAGGCTATCTGAGAAGGTTGTCAGTCGATGTATTATCGTAAGTTAGTGAACAACCGTCTTATCCGGCGGTCGGACTAGAAAAAACTATAGTATCCGTTTTTCTTAAATTCAAGAGGAATGACTAGTCCTGAAAATTCCAAACTTGCGTCAGAACCTCCCTCATTGCATTAAAGAAGGGGGCTTGATGGATGCCCACGCCCCTGTGACAGTGGTCGTGGGGACTGGGCACTGAAAACGACATTGTGTCAGGTCCAGCCACCACTGGGAGGCGAGTAAATACAAAGTATACTATCTGTTCTCAATGCTATGAGGGGAAACCTATTCCTAGGGATTACAACTTTGAAATAGTTCCTTCCGCATTGCCTTAAAGCGGGAACAGTGACTAGGCAGTTTTTATCGTTGGCCTGTATGTCTGGCACTCCACATTAAACTGACCTTGTGTCACTTCCTATCTTTTTGGAAAGGCAGGTAACCCCCCCCCCTATGCGAACTTCGGTTTGGGATCAAAGTGTAGTATCTGTCTTCGGGCGAATAATCTCTCAATTGTGTCTCTGTCTTCGGACAGAACGCAACTCAGTTGTGTCTCTGTCCGCAAACAGAGCGTAAATGAAATTATTGAAAGGTGTCCTGTCTCGGTGAACAGCTTTCCGCAAGAGTACCTTCTTTATTGCACTAAAGACGTGGAATCGGTAGAGTTGGGCTACTTTTTGAGCTGGCCCGGTTGCATGCTCTCGGTTCCTCACATGAAACTGACCTTGTGTCACATCCTGTCAGCGTGGGCAGCAAGTAAATACTACAGGTAGTATCTGCCTTCGGGTGGACTACATTTAATCTCTCAATCGTACATATGTCCAAAGACAGAACGCAACAAATAAATTTGGCATGCCTGGTCTCTGGGACCCCAACCCTGCGGCAACACATCCCTCATTTAACCAAAGAGGGAGGGTCGGTGGAATATTGACGCCAGAGTGACATCGGTTGTGGGGACTGAGCAAAATTTGGACTTGCCCAATGTTCACGCGCTTAGGTTCCCCACTTTAAACTAGCCTTGTGCCATATCCTGTTACCATGTTGGGGTCGAGTAATTACTAACTATAGTGTCTGTTTCATGTCTTTAGAATTATGAGAGAAACTTGTTCCCCGGGGATTCCAACTCCGTGGCATCAACTTATTTGAATGAAAGAGGAAGGGTTGGTGAATACCAACGTCAAAATGACAGTAGTCGTACGGACTGGGAAATTATTGTCCGCATCCTGTATGTATGGTACCACCATGAAACTGACTTTGTATCATATCCTGCTTTCGTGAGTAGGTTGGTAAATACCAACAAGCAATTCCCCGCGTTCAGACAGGAAATAGACAAGCAAGTAAGCCTATGAACTTCATGTTTCATAAAGTGTAATCAACTAACTTGCTTCCAGACATCAGACGAGCAGATTTATGATGCAGAGTGAAGGATTTTGTGAGAGAAAGTGTATATCTGTATATTTCTTCATGACGTCTAAATTTAAATAAGTTAGCATCGCAGTGCAATGCTGGACTTGGAAGGCCATTACCATTGAGTAGAGAGTTGGATTCTGGCTTAGTGTCCTATATTTGTCGTCTTGTGTCAAGACAAAGCTAGGCTAACCTATATTAACTGGGGAAATGGACCTAAGCTAACCAATACGAACTGGAGAATCGAAGCTAAGCTAACCTATACTAACTGGGGGATAAAAAGCTAAGCTAAACAATACGAAATGAAGAAACTAGGCTATGCTAATCTATACTAAGTGGGGAAATAAAGCTAAGCTAACCAATACGAAGTGGGGAAATGAAGCTGATCTAATCTATACGAATTGGGGAAACGAAGCTAAGCTAACCAATACGAAGTGGGGAAATGAAGCTAATCTAACCTATACGAACTGGGAAAGTCCTGTCAATAGTCTTCAAGATCTTTATTACTGCACCAAGTTCGGTCCTCACTGGGTCTTCCACGATTATAACCTTATGTTTGTCTAAGTTTAGAAAATAACGACTGACAGTCGTTCTAGCCTAAATCTTTTCTTAAAATTAACAATAGAATTTTTAAATAAGTTACAACAGTTGATTAAGGCACATCATGGCCCAGTTAAAAACTGTGTTATTATATTATGAATAGAAAAAAAGTAAAGAAAACTATTACCCTTGTCAACAAAAATAAACACCATAATTACCACGATTACGATAGAACGATCTGTCATTTCTTGCTTTAAAGAAACGCGTAACCAATTAAGATTTTGGAATGATGACCTGGGAGTTGCGATAAAAAGCAGCAGAAATTAAAATGAAAAAAAAAATACTAGTGAAAAATGAAGAAAAGTTGATATGTTACAAATTCAAATAATATTAATACTAACAGTATTATATAAAAATGTTGATGCGTTATCCAGGTTATATCAAAAATATAGCTTTTTACATTTTAGGGGTATTAGCGATTTGCTTGGATGAAATGATTAAAAGTGTTATTACAATCTCAAGACTTGTTCAGACAACACATTCTGTTTGTTGATTATATTTGTTATTTTTTTACTCAAATTCATATACATATTTGCATGTAATGTTATAAATGGATGTTTTTAATCTTGTTTTAGAATTGCTGCGTGCATTAATGTCTAACACAGATATTTTTTTGCCAAATGTAGCCATTTCATCATAAGTCAGACGTCCTGGGTAAGACGATAAACTACATCCAACAACAAGGCCTCTTGTTAGGAGGTATTGAGGAGTGTGGTCCACTCTTACACGGGGTGGTAGCACCCGTTAGGGTCCTACCCTTAAGTTTACCCCCCAACTGAGGTAAAAAGCATTATGAAAGTGTAAAAATAGGTTTTAATACCAGAAATACTTTGTAAAAAATTATTACCAGAAATAAATTTTTGAAGGAAAAAAACTATTGCCAGCTATACGTTTTTGAAAGTAATATTACCATCTATACAATTTGGAGGAAAAATATTACCAGAAATAGATTTAATTTATAACTAATTATTACATAAATAAATAAGCTGAATCTTACTTCAATAAATACAAAAATATTCAATAGACTGCCAGGGTATTGGAATTCTATAAACAACATCCTTTAAATAATAATAAAAAAAAAAAAACAAGAAAAAGTAAGTGATTTCCCCCGCCCACACAAAACTCTGAAATTCCCTCCTAGGGAATTCCCGCATCTAGTCGAGAGGCCGTGGACTGAGATAACTGTATAAATATTGTATTTTTTCTTCGGTCCAATTCAAGTAAAGATTTCTTTATTTTCCCCGTTTAGATGGGCTCTGTGTGTGTTGTATAAACGCAAATGTGCCTGAGCAGGCGTCTGCAACAGGGATTGTCTAGCCGCCCTAGTAGACAGGAATACTCGGATACGATCGGTTAGCCACCATTATAAACAAACATATTTTAATTAAATTTTATTTTGCCTTTAACACCTAAAATTTATATATAATCATAAATTGTATTTTTCATTATAAGAATTTACTATGTTCATTGGCTTTTTATTTTTATCACCATAACATTTTTCATTCATTTTCCTGTCACTTTTCCATCTCATTTTTCACGGATATATTTTAAAATTTTATTCATTTTTAATTTTTTTCAAATTATCCACAGTTTTTTTTTTTATGTATCAGTGTTTCCATGGTAACGAAGTTTCTCAGCTTTTTTAGTTACGAGGACTGGCTGGAAAGTTTATAGGCTGACCAAGATATAAAAGTCAGTAGTAGAGTACAAAAGCTGACCGACCAGCTATTGTATTCTGATACACTTACATTTATATCTTGGTTAGCCTATGAACTTTTCAGCCGACCGTTGTATATTTCGATAATGCTCACGTAAAAGGATGGAAACGTCTACAAGAAAATAATTTTTAAAAATCACCATCCAACTGGTTTTCACGTATTCCATCTTACATACTTTGATAATAAAAGATTATAAGAAATATCCAAACGAACAAATACATTTCTTATGACAACGTTTTCTTTTCTTAAAAGGTTTGTCCTCGGCCAAGTTGCTTCATGACCAAGGAGTCAGCGTTCTTCTTTTGGAGGCGAGAGATCGTGTTGGCGGCAGAACATTTACTATCTTTGTAAGTATATGACTTCGTGAATATTGTTTGAAGATTATACTTTATACTGAAATCTTTTAAATGTTACACTTTTCATTAACGTCTTCTATACGCCATGTCTCTTTAGGACGTGAACGATTTCAGCTCTCCACAACTTCCTAACAAGTCTTTACAATGATATATCTTTTTACTATCCCTCTCGCTCCCTGTTAAGTCATCCATTTACAGAACCTTGTTAGGTACGTTAGTAGATGATTCTTTGTCTCTCTTGCCTTCGTTATGTTCTGTTAGTGCCAAGTTTTGCAAGCCTTCTTTTCTCATTATGCGTCCTTGAAATTTCAACTGTCTCTTTCTGATTATAACACATAAAATGTGTAATGTTATCTTAGTAACCGCTGTCAAAAAAAAAAAAAATGAAATAAAAAAGTAAATTTGTCATATGTAAAATAATTGTTGATTCACTAACTTCAAATTAACGTCGGCGTTCGATCTTCTAGGATCAGATAGATTTTGTCTTCTCGCCCCTTCTCGTATGTCAGCCTTTTATATAACTTCCTGTTATCTGGTTTGTCTTGTATGTGTTTATCATCCTAAGTTCAGTTGGTTTTACTTCCTGTTTATGTCAGTGCACCCCCTGACATCATTCGAGGCCCAATTCTGTACATGGTAGTTTTGCGGTCACTTTCTAGGTCAAGCCTCGATGTATCTACGTCTTTTGATATTCTAAGGTGACACCGAGTACAAATCTTATTTTGGTATCACTTTGTACATTTTGTTGTCACCACAAATCAACTCAAAGTTTCCTGATAGACATTAAATTCAATTCAAGCCTCTGGTATTTTGTGACATGAATCACATACTAAAAATGTGATAGACATGAAATATAAACGCGAAAACTGTCTGAAGTATGTTATAAGTTTCAAAGAAGTACAAAATCGGTTCTAGAACAGTTGCGTACTGGACAATTGCGTCCCTGGAGATTTGCATCTCTAGACAAATGCGTCCATGGATAATTGCGTATCTCTGATGATTTTTTGAAGCTTTTAAAGGCAATTACCATAAATTTTGAAAAAAGCATAGGTAGTAATTATAATTTTTTTTAAAAGGAATAAAATTAAAAAAATTATAAGTTTTTGTTTAAAATGCAATAACAGATTAACAGTGTTGCAAGATCGATCTCCACATCACCAGTATGTTTTTCGGCGTTTTTCTTATGATAATGGTAGCTGTAATTTTTCTCACCCACAAATATTTTTCCACCAGTGTTTGATTATTGGAACTTAGCCATGGGTTCCAAATAAAAATATAATCTATAAAATCCAGAATCTATGAGATGTTTGTAGTACGCACTGCTGGAATGAACCGAAACTGCTGGCTTAATTTTCTCTTGCTTTAAAAAAGAAATTTTACTCTTTTTTATTTATTGGTAACTACCTTTCTGCTCGTCTAGAGTAATTAAATGTATTGGTGTACAAATTTCTATACTAAACAAATCTTTAAAATAAAATGGTAACTTCAAAAAATTATCAGAGGTACGCAATTATTCAGAGACGCGTTTTTCTCGGGACGCAAATATCCAGGGACGCAATTGTCTAGTATGCAATTTTCCAGGACGCAAATGTCCAGTCCGTCCACCGTACAAAATGAAATATTTAAAATCACGTATGCACCACAAATGACTGGATAGTTAGCGTTACCATCGGTTGAAATTTATGAAATCTTTTTCTTAAATCAGTTTTTCAGGAATTAGACTAACTCTACTAACAATTATTGCTCTTTCTAGTATTGATGGGCGTTTCCTTTCAAATCTTTTGTTTTTGGTAGTGTGGAAAGTTAACATCTTGATGATATCATCAAGTTACCTTCTAGCTACATGTACTACCCATTTTTATTATTACTGTTAGTGATGTGGTTTTTGTTATTTGTTCACTCTTTGTTTGGGATTTTGTAACGCCAGTCTTTAGGGTCTGATGAAGGGTTGTCATCCTTAAGATCTAAAGGATTCATTCATTTGAAGTCATTTTCATTGATCTGAGAAAACATTTGTATACAGATGATAGTTTAGACATTTTTTTAAAAAAGTGGAATATGAAAGTGCTTAGAGCCATATCAGTGAAGTTAAGCAACGTCAAGCGTGGTCAGTACTTAGATGGGTGACCGTTTGGGAATACCAGATGCTGTAAGCTTGAATGTGCAGATGGTGTAATGGATAACGGCTCGGAATTGGAAGTTGGAGAGCCCAGTTCCAATTCCAGCCAGGTTCATTATATTCACTTGCGCATAAATACTCTTAATACTGAATACTCTTTTCTCCCCCGGCTGTGGGTTAATTAGTAGGTCATTAAAAAATTATTATTTTCAAATATTTCTTACAAGGCAAACATATTTTCTGGCTTTAAATAACTTGTAAAATGTAGATAAGCCGTAAAAAAAAAAAAATCAATCAACCATAGGAGAGTTTGGGTCTGACTACAGGACGAGTTTAATATTTTAGTTCTGTAGCATCATGTTTTGATGGGCAAAACTATTACTAGCCCAACCTATCCTACTCCCAATCCAATTCCAAATCATAGTTTCTGTTTTGGAAATGCTTATCCCATTTCTTGGAACATTAGAATGTTGAAAAGAGCGGTAACTTACTCCACGTTAATATTTATAATAGAAGCAACGCATTAAACTTGGAACTTGTTCCAGTTGCTGGATCTTTTCTTACAATCGTTTTTACTTGCATGTCTCGTGTGAACCTTATCAACCATTGGCGTTCCTGCAACAGATACGGAATTTTCTAAATCTAAGTTCGCGAAGGGAAGCCATACTGAAAAAATGATTAGACTACAGACTATATTGCAATAATTTTATTTGTGCCTAGTATTTAAAGTGAAGGGACAAAATTATATAACCAAAATCACTGAGGTTAAGTGCCAGTAAATTTTACACACTTTTTTGTTGACCTAAACAATGCACTAGTCTGAGTTGTCAGATCCCTAACTACTGAAATTTCTGAAAAAAAATTGAAGACGCTTCCCTGTGTTCAAATAATTATTGGTAAGACCGCCACTCTCACAATATCTTGAGAAAAAACTGTTTAATCCCTTACCTTCAGTTTTACCCAATGGTCATCTAAAATGGCTAATTCAATTATTATTTTCTTATGTCAGCTCAGTTCTGATATCCTTTTCTTCCTTTAGCTGGTTTTTTATCCCGTTGCTTTTCTCTTTCCAGCTGGGGACCATCTCAAGACAGTTTTAGAAATCCTTTCATTGGATAATCCCAAGACGACCAAACCGTCGTAATCTGCTTTCTTTAAATGTTATAATCTCAAGGGACATAACTCTACTGTCTCTCATATAGCTAATTAAAAATCTTTTAAAGCAGTAGATATTATAGGTCTTTCATCGGAAGATAATGTGAAAGACGTTTATATTTGTAATGTTTTTCTTCGTGACTCCCGAGTATTCAAAGAGTCAGACTCAACACTGCTGTTGTTATAAAAGCTGATCTTGGTTCTGAGGCTTTGACTTACAGATGTTAAGGGGTTGACTGAAAGTGACTTTGTTGAGACATAACTGATGTCTGTTAAAGCAACATTTTCATTGCTTATGCTCTACATCATATAGTTATTTACAAAGACAAATTAGGGCTCAGTAAAATGAAGAGGTACTCAACTTTTATGGACTCTGGAGGTCTGCAGATGTTTTATAGACTTTTAGGTAGATGGAACATGTGGCAGACCCATTTCACTCGAGTCGTTGAGGATCAATTGTCATATGCTTCAGTGCGGCGGCCGACAAAGTCACAGTAAGGCTGTAATTGAGAAGAGCAGTATGTTGTCAGCTTACTTTAATATTTGCACGCAGCTGATCCCGATGTTCAAGTCGGTTTCGTTCAAGCCTTTGTATAAATGAGAAGCAGGACAGGCGCCGGCTCCTTTGCTCTGACGTTTGTTTTCTCAAGAAGAAAAGGGGATGCTGCATCGCGTCAGATTTTCTTTGAAACGCAAGCATGCCCCTTTATATATATATATATATATATATATATATATATATATATATAGTCGACTCTCCCGTCGAATTCGACGTATGAGGGTCAAGCAGATCAGTTCCCAGGAACCGACAGCCCGACAACAGCACATGAGATTTGATTATAGTGGTGAAGGTTTCTTGCATTACCAGCCACACTTTTTGAAGGGCCGAATTCAGAGACCTGGTGCACTAAGTGCCACATGGTCCCCAAACGACCTTATATATATATATATATATATATATATATATATAAAAGGTATATTTAGGCATCAAATATTCATCAAAATACAAGTTCGAATACAAGTTAATTTCGTTACATTCACTTCAGTACAAATATCACTGGGAAACTTGTCTAACTCCAGCTATAGGTTAAATAGCAATATCAACTAGGCTATTTAGCATTGATTGGCAACCAGTCTTGGAGAAGGAAACTCTGAATTCAAAATCTGGGAATAGCTGTTTAGAGGCTTCGTGACCGCCTGTGTACCTGTTGTCTGTTATCAGCTCATCAAAAGGTTTAGCTGTTTCTGTACAAAATTTCACCACAATAATAAAAACATACGTTTAGTTAGTTTGGCGTTTCGGTTCTAAGAAACTAAATTGTTAGGCCCTGATACATCGACATTGACAGAAGAGTTCTGATATTTAGTTGTAAATTAGATGTAAAATAATTATGCCGTTGTAAAAATAAAAAAAATGAACTCACTATTTAAAAAAACAGTTCGAAAAAAAAATGCAACTGCGAGATCAAAGATTGTTTTAAGAAAGACTGCTCTGTGGGTAATCAGGCTGCAAGTGTCAAGAGGCTTGAAATGATGCATGAAGCGTTTATGACGAAATAGTCAAAAGAGGATCACAGGTTGCGTTCTTGTGCATAAAAGAAACTTTTCACAGAGCACACAGATACTACACTTCGTATTTATTTCTCCCCCACCCCAAACTCTGGTGATGGGATATGGCACAAGGACGGTTTAAAGTGGAGAGCACTTTAAACCGTCCTTGTGCCATATTCCAAGCGCGTGCACATGAGCGAAGACCAAATATTTTCTAGTTGCCGCAACCAACGTCGCACCGACGTAGGTATTTCACTCCCCCTCTCCTTTTAGTGCAATGAGGGCGATGCTGCAGCAGGGTTGGAATCTCCGGGAACAAGCATCCCTAAATGTTATTTTTGTGTGTTCTGTCCGAAAACAGAAACACAATTGAGAGATAAAATTTAGTTTGTTCACTCGAAGGCAGATACTACACTTTGATTCAAAGCACAGACCCTGTGCTTTGAATCAAAGTGTAGTATCTAATATACAGAGAGAAGCTTTAAATACTAATCTTTTATATATCCATGTCCTTTCAGGATGTGAGCGTTTATTGCTCCCCACAGTTTTCAATCTTTCGTTATTCTCAGTAACTTTTACCTTTTTACAATCTACTTTTGTCCTTGTTCTGTGATCCGTTCACTCTAATTCGTTAAATAGGTCATTAACCGAAAAAATTCTTTTGCTATTTATATGCACTTTTGGTTTTCTGTATCAAAGTTTATGTCATTTGTTGAATTTCTATATAAGTAATATCGTTATTTTTCTTTTACTCTGCTTTTATATGTATCGTATACATAAAATATTTTCAGGATTGAATGACACTGTAATTAATATTACGTGGACGTTGTTTCAACTACCCTTTTGATAATAGAATCAGTCACTAATTATTTATAACTATTTATACAGAGACTCATGCATGTAATTATAATTAATCCATAATATTTAACATTTTTGGCATATGAATTTTTTGACACTGTTTCTAAATCTCCCCCCCCCTGATATCTTCACCGTTTGGGAACTACTGTCTTAGATTGTAAAAACTGATTCTGGACCTCAGATATGACTTTCACAAAGCACAACGATTTTACTATTAAATATTCTTAGAAATTATTTAAATGTGTTCCAGGATTATTTTTTCTTGTAAATAGTTCTTATTGTATCATTAAATGACTAGTCATGTAATTAATATTTTTCATTGTACGCTACGTAGTATTTGACATTTAGGTATTTCTGGTTGCCACTGTTCCAGCGGGTTCGGTAAAACTGCTGACTTATAATTCCTCTGTGGAATTGACGTTTTATTGGTTTACACTTGTGTGGAATATATGATATTGGATTTAGTGTGGAATTTAGTGTCATCTGGGTTGATACGGTGTTATCTTCGGATAACGTCCTTTTCCTAATATACGCCAATTTTAGGCCTTGTAAAAATGAAGGAAAAAATAATTAGTATTACAAACAAAGATACATTTTGCATGTAAAGATAACATTTTATATATCTTAAAACATACAAAATTTAAGGAGTTCATAAGGAAGGTTCGCGTGTTGAACGTCTCAGCCCTTTAGCATATTTATAAGGGATAGAGAGAAAGAGTCTGTCCTGGTAATGCTAATGTGTATATATGTATGTATTCAGTTGGTAGTAGTAATCCTGATTCACTGTTGATCTAAGGGGTCAAGTAAAATAAGGTATAAGAGGAATATGGCAATGGGCGGCAGATATTTATGTCACAGCTGTTCCTTGTCGGGAAGGGACATAAACATGAGAGAAAAACAAAATTAATTCATTATTCACTGGTTCCTTTTTTTTCTGATTGTTTCCGTGTTTTTATAAATTTTCCTAGACAAAGGAATTCATTTCAGAATTGCCTCTTGTTTTCTGATTGGTTCACAGATGTGACTCATTTGACTTTTCTTTACCTACATTTAGGAATGATGAACGTTTGGCCTATTTTATTTAATTTTTTTTTTATCGTTACTAACCTTTTTGTTTTTATTTCTTTATAATAAACCAAAATGGTTCCGTATTTTTCTATTTCTTTTTTGAAATAGTGAATTTTTTTGTTTTTCTATCGCTACACCGCCTTTCATATGGGAATTCTGATCAAAAGGTATACAGACTGGTGCTTAAAAAGAAAACTACAACAAATATCAATTCGGCATTTAATCTCATTGGAAGTAGTCCCCTTCTGAAAGCACACGCTTTATCCAGTGTCATTTCCATCGATGGAAGCATTTTTAGAACTCCTTTTTGGGGATAGCGAGCAGCTGCCTCGTCGCTTTCTCTTGACGTCTTAAAATCTTCTTCCTTTCAAGTAGTATTTGATTTTTGAAAATGAAATGTCGCAAAGGGCGAGATCCAGGGAGGACCTGAAGAAGAAAAAATCGTAATGGGCGATATCTGCGAGAACTGCTGCACAAACCATGGTCAGTGATGCGATCTCTGTGGCGTGGTGAGATGACCACACTCTACACACCTTCCTTCCAAGCCCTGCTATAAACAACGTAAGCAAGCGAATACGTTATAAGGACAGATTTCAGGTCAATCTGTGCGAATCGGCTTCACTCTCTATGCTTTAGCTCCTTTACCATAGCAACAGTCCCCATACTTTTAATCAAACCTCGTATGTTCAGTTGACAGTTATGTGCAATTTAATTCGCCTGATTCTCTTCTGACCTTTATCAGGCTTTAAAACACTAAATTCATTTAATTGAATTATCAACTGAATATAGGCCGTGGAGCGAATGTCAAATGGCCAAAATTTGAGATGTCACCCGATTTTAAAAAAATGGTGAAAGTTGTCCAACTTAAGCTAGAGCACTAGTTTTTGCCTTTCATATATTTCCTGACGCGTATTGAAACAAATATATTCCATAATTCTTTTGAGAATTTTCTTTTTCCTTTCAGAATGACAAAGTAAAATATGTCGACTTGGGAGGCGCCTACGTTGGACCCACACAAAACCGATTATTACGAATGGCAAGAGAATTTAATGTAAAAACTTTCTTCACCAACGAAAATGAGGACCTGGTTATGTTCCACAAGGTAAACTATGATAATAAAGGAATTCTTTCTTTGGCCAATTACTTAGTTGAGCCTGAAATGAAAAAGTTAATGTAAGTATCACACCGTTATGAAATATTATAAAAATATAAGTTTCTCCCTGTAAGATACTTTAAAAGATCAAACATCTTTATTGTAGGGTCACACTTGAACAGGCATCCGTTCAAATGTCAAAATGTATATAAAAAATAGCTGCTTTTCATTGTGAGTTCGATTTAATTTTTTTTTTTTGCATAATACAGAGGCGGATAAACTTATAAAAACCCGTTAAAGTTAGATTAGATTGGCATCCGTCGGTATCGAATGACCATGCATCTGCGCCCGAAAAGCGCGGGCTTGGGCAGGCTTTTTATGAGAGATCGGAAGTTGTCCATGTAACACGTCTCTCCTCCCTATGCCATCGATCTTGTCCAAGGGCAAGGCAGAGGCCAATACAGCTTGGCACCAGCGTCGTCGCAATAGTTGCCAGAACGAAACATGACATCAAACTGACTTAGGGACTCTAGCTCCACATTTGAATTCAGAGATGTCTTTCTTCTAGTCTAGTTGCCAACCATAGCTAAAGAGCCAAGATTACCCTATTATTTACCCATAGTTGGAGGTTTTGAATTCAGAGTTTTACCTATCCCTAGACCGGTTACCAAGGCTATAAAACCAATTCTGTCCTGCTAGTTACCAATGGGGCGAGGGGAGATGGATTCATACCTTTCCCAAAAGTGTTAGCACAAAAAGTGAATGTAATGAACTCGACTGGAATTCGAACTCGGCTCTCTACTTCCCCGGTTAAAGTTTTGATGATCTATTAAAGCTCCACGCTACTAAAATTATGATAACCTATTAACCTATTAAAGTTATGGCATTAGATTACTATTTCATAGGAGTTGATATGTTATGTTGACAGTTTTAAATAAATTGAATAAAATTTAAAAAACAAAATTAAAAAATCTATTAAAGGAAAATATGAAGAAAGTTAAATATCAGTTTCCAAACTTCGGAGTGATGACTGAAAGATTCATTTTACTGTGTACAGGTAGCGTTTTCTACTATTTCCTAAAGAGAATTAAAGAACACAGAAGAAGGTAAAAAGCACTCAGAGAGCGCTTATCGCTGCCAACGTCAGTGTTCGTTATGAATTAGCACCAGTTAATAGACTTGATAAAGGGGAGATAACTATGTAAATTTCTATTTAAATATTTCGGTCTATTGCTTTTTAATTTGTGATATTTAATTTATGAAATATATCTCTTTAATTTTAATCAATCACTTGTCCCTTCCCCTATTATCAAAAAAGTGGCCAAGTGTAAATATACGGTCCGTAAACATTATCGATGATCTAAATGTCTAAGTCTTACCTTTGCAGTAATAGTTTTTTTTTATGCCCATTACAGTAGTCGCCGTCTAAAATGCCGCCGGTGATACACTCATGGGCGTATGGTCCAAAATCAGAGGTTCGTGGCGCCATGTTGTGTCCCAGTCTTGTGTTTGTGGGAACCGATTAGTCCATTATTTTCTTTCGAGGCTCGAAGTCGTAGTGGGGTCAGTTCCTTTCTTCAAGACGACATGCAAGTTTTTGAAGTTCTCCTAGTCTTTGCCTAAAGAGGTTTCAATTCTAGACTGGTTGCCATCCAAGGGTTCAGTCTATCTTGCTATTTTACCCATAGCTAGTGGGTGAAGAAATGGATTTTTACCTTTCCTATATAAGTGAATGTAACGAGCTCGATTGGAATTCGAATTCGGCTCTTCGATTCGAAAATCCGAGCCAAGTTATATTAAAAGTGATAAATTGCAAACATAAAACTTGCATGTTATCACTTTTATAGAATAAAAATAATATGAAGCAAACAAAAAAGAGTAATGTCGAATAGTCTCGTCTAGTCGAAAATTATAACTTTTTTTGTTTTTAGTGCTTATTGTTATTAAGGAGTTTTCAATTGTGAATCTTTAAATATATACATCGGACCTACCACCTCTCAATTAGTAAACCAGCTAAACCTACATCTCTCGGACCAGAGTTCCATAAGGTCCTACTGTTACGTGTTGATAATTGTAACAAAGGAAAAAAAAATGATTTACCACAACACAGAGCTAAATCACGAACAAATATTTAATTTGCTAAAACAGAACATAAAATATATACAGGATAAACAATTGTGGCCTACAAAACAGAAAACAAAGAGTTACTGGCGGAGTGTTACGAGGAAGAAGGAAAGGGAATCAAATATCTTTATCACTTTTTAGGGCTAGGGAAGTAATCTAAGTGCTATATTTGGAAATCCACAAAGGTGTGTAAATAAATATAAATTTTTAGTTTGGTCAATGAAAATTAGTCAAAATTCTATTTACCAACTTTGTTCCATGAAATTCTCTTTTGGGTTTTGGTTGGTCAGCAACTTTTTATAGAGATTCTTTCGGCTGGATATAATAGTCCTTGAATCAAAAGCCGGAGTTGATATTGACAGCAATTTGTTTTCACCAACTGACAACCCTTTTCCAAAATCCCATTTTTATAGGGGCTAACACCTAATTTGCATATTTCTAGATGTTTCTCGAATCATCTAGATTTTTCTCGAATATACTAGAATGATCTAGAATCTTCCAAACATTCTATTTCTAATTTCTCTATTTTACAATTCCTTCATGAATGAAAACTTTTTTGTAATAACAAGTAGAACTCAGTGGAATCCCTTATTATAGAAATGCATCCTCGTAACACTACCTAAATCACTATAGAGATGTATTAACTTCGACACACAACATATTCGTCGAGAACACAAATGAGATACGCAACTGCTGCAGTTGCAAATAGCGTCTAAAAATAATGAATATTTCTATATATATATATATATATATATATATATATATATATATATATATATATATATTTGTTATGGAGACATATTCTTCCTAAAATAAAAGTGAGATAACTTCCTGTGACCCCAAAAGTGATTATTGCCCTTGGCGGGAATGGGATTTCAAGATGGCTACCTACCTTCACGGTGATAGCAAATCATTATCCACAGAAATCCATGCATTTTCTTATTTATTTTTCATGACTTACGCTCCCCACCTAACAACACACACACACACACACACACACACACACACACACACACACACACACACACACACACACACACATCCAAATCTTACTTTATCGCCTTGACAGAGTTCAAAATCATTTACGCAGTCTTATAAGAGATGGCTTATTATCCACCCTGCAGTCCCTATCCAACAAACGCAACGTCACGAACCTAGCGCTATTCTGACACTACGTTTATAGCAAATATTCAGACGATCTCCATTCTTTAGTGTCACCAACTCAAACCTTTACAGCCAATACTCGCCTTGCTATGTCCACAGGGTCGAATCATTCTCATTCCCCATGTATTCTTTCGGTGAGAAGGGCATTCTACTCTGAAATCCTCTTTGCGGAACAGACAAGAAGTGGAGTGATTATATGAAATCAATTGCTAGGCTTACAGCGAGAAATGTTTTGTTCACTGTGTCGTACAAGACAGTTTTTTCTCGATAGAATCCATCTTAAACATTTATAAATCTACTATTCATTCGTGAATTGAATATTGCTGTCATATCTGGTCTGGTTCTCCTTCAATATATTTTCGAGATTCTCTAAAAAATCCAAAGAAGAGTCTGTAATATTATTGGTCCTGATCGTAACATGGCATCTCGACTTCAGTTACTTTCTTACCACCGTGACGAGACTTCCCTCTGTCTTTTTATAAATGTTTTCATGGTAGTTTTCTTATGGACTTTCCTCCTTGGTACCTCGTCTGCACAAATTTCAAGCGTACTACTAAAATGGCAACTAGGTTTCGTTGTTTTATTGTTGAATTAGCTAGATGTAACTAAGTTCTATTCTAATAGTTTAGTTTAGTTTCTTGCATTTCTCACTTGTTGAACCCTGTTCCGATCTCCTGCTAGCCTGTCACCTCCAATTTTCTAAAATTTAAATGCAACATCAATCGCCATTTACTGTCTTCTTGTACCCTCTTCTTTTATTGCCCTAATTAGTAGATGCTTACCCAAGCACTACAATATTAACCTCTTCAAGTCTAGCGTCAATTTTTATCTATCTGTCATATCATCGTAATCCTCATTTCCTATTCTTAGTTTATATCCCACATCTCATTTAATAAACCTCTACTTTGTGTGGCTCATTGGCCTTGTATTGTGCGAAAGAAAATTACAAGTAAAGGGTGTTTCATTTAGACGGACTATATATGAGGGTATTTCATTAAGACGGATCAAAGTCAGCAGTAAATAAATCAGTGTTATTGGCGAAAATTTATTTATTTCTCTATTGGATCATGTTATTTAAGTCATGGCAATTACGTGTGAAAAATAATATCGTCCAAATGTCCGCCAAATCTGAAAGAAAAAGAAAAAATCATTAGACGCTTAAACTTAATTCACATTTAAAATAGGTCCAAGTTATTAGAACACCCTCTATAATTTCACATTATTTTTGTTATATATTTATTATCTTTCTCTTATAGGGAATTTCTCACAAATTCCGAGGTGCATTTCCAAAAATGAATTTTCTTGCGAGGCTCGATATGAACAATCTTTTAAGACTAATGGATCAAATGGCAGAAGAGGTAAGTACATGTGTATTTATTAATTCGCTAAATAATAATATTATTTCTTTATTTTTAAAATGGCGTTTTGTATTAAGTTGATAACTCATTATTTCTTTCTTTTTTTTTTTCAGATTCCCATTTCAGAACCCTGGAAGGCTCCCAAGGCACGTGAATGGGACACTATGACAATGAAAGACTTTTATGATAAAGTTATTTGGACCAAGTAAGCTCAGTAATTCTTAGGTTATTTTGCTTTATAAAAATATATGAATAATGCAATGATCTTTTCTTAAATTGCAAAGACGCTTCATGCAAAGTATATTATATGGCGGATTATTCACTTACTAATTTATATACAACGGTATCTTTCGTCAACTATGCAAAGGATAATTTTACCTGTAGTTATTTATCATTCATTTTTTTTTTGCCTTGAACGACTAATAATAATTTTTCACGGTCAAAGAATTAGAAACTAGAAAGCAGGCAGAGAAAATATACTTAACATCATTTCATTCACATATAGATTCAGGGGGAGATAACCGCATCCGTTTTATCATATATATATATTTTTTAATGCCATGATTTCTTGGGCGAAGACGATGGGAAACCACTCCACTGTCGGAATTCAGATTAACCTGGCTGCCTCCCAAGACAGTGGCTCCCACCAAATAAACAAATTAGATAAATAAAATAAAAAATAAATAATTAAAATAAATAAATAAATAATTAAAATAAAATAAATAAAGAAAGAAAAAATATCTTTCTCGAGGGCATTAGTGCGAAGTGTACGTAGCAGGCTAATCCAAAATGGGAATTCGGCTCCCTGATTCCAATTTCCGCGTCGATAGTCAACACGCTATCCGTACATCTTATATTTCGGACTTTTGCCTTAAATAAAATATTTTGCAATCGAAAAAAAAAAAATCCCTCTAAATTTAATAAACTATTCCTTCATCCACGACACACTTTTCCATATACGTGAAGTTGGAATTCATTGAAAACCTATAGTGATAGTGTGCTGATATGACCCGATACGGAGATAACCATAACACAACTGCATACCGAATTCTAAGTTTCTTGAAAGTATGGCGTTGGACATTATGTCCTCAAATGATATAAATGGATCCGTTGGAATTATATCTCATTAAAAAGATGTTAAAGCGGAATTTTTTAGGTGCCACTTGTTACGGGATATCTGCCCTCCTATATGGCAGTGAATGCTGGACAGTCGCCTCAAAGATGAAGAAGACACTTGAAGCAATATGAATGCCGTTCTACAGAAGGATGCTGAGGATATCATGGACCAAACATGTGAACAATGACGAAGTTTTAGAGTAAATGTAAACAAAAAGGAAACTTATACTTAAGATCAGGAAGAGACAGTTGAAATTTTTTGGGCACATAAGGAAGTGGGGCTTGGATTGAGAGCAAGAGAGACAGAAGAAAACAACGTATGACATACTTAATGGGCTTGAGTAAACGTATAGCGGAATAGGATTTAGGAGAAATAAAAAACATTTATAAAGAGCTACAAAGAACAGGAAATTGTGGAGAGCCATGATCGCCTACGCCTTGAGGGGACACGGCGCTTCAATAATAAGAATCAGGATTTTAAAATTCTGTTTGAAACGTTGTGAAGAAGATTTCAAAAGTTAAAAAAATACGCCGGCAAGAAAAGCTGCTGTCAGAATACACAGCAATGAATCCTCAGCTGAGACACATTCTATCCAGACTTCCTTTCCCGTGTGTCTACTGTACCGCAATGATTATCAAGCTCATATTGAAGTTCAGTTCTCTAGCGTAACGAGTTCGAGCTATATTTGAGTGTCCCACTATTTTGCTTTGTGCCAGACAGGGCAATGATATAACAACATAATTAAATATATATAGAATTCCTGGAAACTTGTGAAAAATTTGTAGCAGATTAATAAATAAAATTTCGAGGTTTTATTCCTATTACTTTCAGGACAACATGCTGAAATACTTTCAAGTTAGTATTTGAGATTTCCTTATATATATGATAAAAATATATTTTTTGGTATGTTATATTTATGAGCAAAAGTGCTCAATATTAGGGATACAGCGTATGTAAATATAAAAGTGGACACTGAGATCAAGTTTGTTTCATATTTGACGACAATGTTCAGTCCTGAGGATTGCGTTCAAGCATGAAACAGTCACCGATCTGTGTTGATCTCAGTGTCCACTTATATATATATATATATATATATATATATATATATATATATATATATATATATACCCAGGTAAAATGAGAACAAATGGAGTATAATTCCACTGTAGGTTACATTTAATTTAAAAGAGGGTTCAATACAGAGTAGAGCTAAATATTATTTATTTTAGGTTATTAAAACATGTTAAATATCGCTAATTAATGGCAATTGTGTTTCAACACTACAAATGTGTCTCCTCGGACGATATTAAACTACTGAGAAGTGAAAGATTAATGTAATTTCAAGTAGACTAACATCGTCCGAGGAGACACATTTTTAGTGTTGAAACATAATTGTCATTATGTTCCGATTTTAGCATGTTTTAATATCCTAAATTATATGAAGAAATATACTCTTAAGGTGTGCTACATTATGGGATAAAGTTCTCAATATCAGAGATAGAGCGTGTGTAAATATAAAAGTGAACATTGAAGTCAACACTTAGAGGCGACAGGCTGTTTCATGCTAGACGCAATCGTCAGGCAACGTGGCCTATATATATATATTACTGCAAACGTTCTTATAGTAGACACTTTATTTCAAGCAATTTTTATTCATTGGCCTGCGTTTTTCAACAAATCTAAGGAAAGAAAATGTGTGATCTGTGATCGAAGTTGCGTAATTCTCTATTAATTAGCTATATATATATATATATATATATATATATATATATATATATATATATATGTGTGTGTGTGTGTGTGTGTGTGTAAACCAGTGTACTAGGGGTTGCTGCAAAGTTTTTCGGCCCAAGCACGAAGCATTTCCCAAAACATCTGTTTCATCCTTTGATCAGATTTTATGAAATGGTTCGTAACCTAATGATAAAAAAGCACAAACTGATGTTGAAAAATAATTATTCGGTGCTTATTTCAAATTTAAATTTTGCTAATAAAGTTCGATGTTTGTGATTCTGATTTACTGTTGAAATAAATGTTATGTTACGAACTTACTGATCCGAACATACGTACATGTGTGCGTGCATGTGTATAACTATAGGACGATGAAATTATTTTTTAAAGAAATATCAGTATATTTTTAGGCCAACAGACAAAATAGAAGCACGTCGAGAAAAAAATTCAAATCTGATTTTTGGTCATAAGATCCGTAAATGATTTGCAAAGGAGGCTGCATATGGATCAAGAGTGAGGATTGTGGGATGAGGTCACTCTTAGATTGGCTGACCTTTTAGATCTTGTTCTCGCTTCTTGAAGACGATTCAGACTAGCAGACTGAGTCCACTAAAACACGTTGATCTCCACTCTACCCGTTCCAAGGCTAAGTGATCGAGGGTGTTATGTGGTATATCTTCAGCTTGTCTTTGTATCTAAGCTATGGGCGTCCTACATTCCTGCAGCCCTGATACTAACTGGCTATACATTAGGATCTTGGGTCATCAGACATTTTCAAGACATGACCGACCACCGCAACTGAGACTGTATTAGGAATGTCTCGATTCCTCTAATATTATATATATATATATATATATATATATATATATATATGTATGTTTTAAAAGCATTTTTTTCTTTAAAAAGGAACCTTTTTCGTCTTAGACTTCTTCAGAAAGATTCGCTGAAAAAAAACAAATATAGTAAAAAAAAAAAGAAGAAACATAAACGGTGAAGAGTTTATGGGGGGAGGAGTAAATAAGGAGCTACGACTAAAATAAATTTATTACTAAAACAATAATTCGATGTAATTAAGCTTCTTGTGAGCACAAAACAGAAAAGGATTTTTACTCACGACCCATCCATGAAACACACAGAACAAGAAATTTCTGCTTCTCTTCTAATAACGTAAATGTCTAGCTGACGGAGCTTTGTGCAGTATCGGAAAAGCTTCGTTAGAATATTTCAAAGAGCAACCCGGCTTGTTCACCAAATGTAGTCCAATCGCTGATTCTAATCGCTGATTCACAAAGCTCCACTTTGTTTATATATGACGCACAGTGTGGATATAGAAAATCAACTCTACATAGTAGTGACTGTCAGTTTAATACTTCATGCGATCATCTGATAATGTGTCACTGTACCTTGTGCGTGATTCTTACATAGGCCACTGGAGACATATGGAAAGTGGGTAACCACTCTTTCACATTTTTTTTAGGATTAACATTTTGCATTGTTTATAGTACTGACTAATCTGAAACAGTCCTGGAAATAAAAGTTGGGGGAAAGGGCCGGTTAGCTATTATTTCCGTAGGCCCCCCAGTGGAATCTATATTGAGCCCGCACAAAGAATAGTGATACAGGGTTTGATTCTGAGGATCGCTTGAGGCGTGAAAATGACTGTCACCATACAACGTTGATTTTTATATACATATCTACAAATGCTCTATCCTGGATATTGAGCAATCTCTTCCTTATATCTGTTTTAATTACTGTATTTGCCTTCGCATAACACGCACCCTCACATAAGACGTCCCCACCCATTTTACAGGGATATTTTGTGGAGAAAAATTTATTATGTTGTGTAGAACATTCCTTCTCTCCCCCTGCCTATCCTCAAAAATGGACTGTGCCTGCTTATAAATAGTTTTATTTGTACTACTTGTTCTATTATGCGGAATAAAGCCTAATTTGGGTTACTCTGTTCCGTGTCTTTTATTACATATGTTTTATCTCATATCTATTGAACTATATTTTAAAGTTGCTTTGTAGGGGAAAATGTACGATTTTGTGCATGCAAATACAATATTGTAATAGTAGACTGAAATAAAGTATGAAATCATATATTGTAACTTTAACATTCATTTAACCTTCAATGGAAACTAAATTAAAATTGCTAAAGCAGAAAAAATATCGTTACGTTTGTATCAATGACTACTGGTACATATAAACAAAGCAAACTGATATAAACTAATCAGTAAAGTACAAGAAGTGTAAATGAGTTCGTATAAATAATTACAGTATATGCTGATAAAGCAAAATATTTCACTGAAAATTATCAGCAATATACAACAAACAACAGGGAAAAACTTAATGTATTTTAACAGAAACTGATATTTCAGTAAACAGTATAGACTACCATACATATTTTATTATTAGTAACACAATTTGCTGTAATAATTTGGCTGGTTTTCAATATTTCCTTACTAATAACAATTTTTACACCTATCGGACTCATGCTCATCAGATGCCCTAGCCACTGGTACAGCATTCGGTCGTATTCTTTTATGTGCTGTGTCCCTTCAGAACGTAGGCGATCATGGCCCTCCACATTTTCCTGTCGCTTGTAGTTCTTAATAAATTTTGTCTTTATATTATTTCTCCCAAACCCTGTTCTACCATTTATTTATTCAAGCTTATCAAGTATGTTACACGCTGCTTTCTTCTGTTCTTCTTTTCTTCAATCTGTCCTGTGGGTATCAGATTTTCCAAGCCCTCCTTCCTCATTACATGCCACAGAAATTTCAACTGCCTCTTCCTGATGTATGGTCACTCGTCTAAGTATAAGTTTCCTTTTTGTTTTTATTCTCTCCAAAACCTCGGTCGTCAACCATCCGTAATACGGCTGTATTAGACGCAGGCCAGTTTTTTGGTACATTTAAAAAACAAAACAAAAAAACGCGATTTATGCGAAAGCAAATACAGTACATCATTATTTTGATTGACTTCTATTATGATTTCATTCTTTTTGCAGAACTTGCCGAACATTTGCTGATTTGTTTGTCAATGTGAATGTTACAGTTGAACCATACGAATGTTCCCTTCTGTGGTTCTTAAACTACGTACAACGGTGCGGTGGAACGAATAGAATATTCAGTACAACGAATGGCGGTCAGGTAAAGAAATGTTATCCCTACTATGGTCTCATAAAATTAATTTGGTGATCCTGAAGCATTAAGTTCTGTATAGAACGAACAGTTGAAAAGTTCTAACCCGGATTCACATCAGATTTATTTTTTTATTTATTTATTCTTGGTCGGACCGAAACCTTACCCTCGTGTATGTTTGTTTTGTTTTACGGCATATCAACCTTTATTTTGGGTTATTTAATGCCTTTTTTCCTGGTAATATTTTGTTTAGTCAAAAATCTATTTCTGGTAATATTCTTTTCCTCAAAAATGTATAGCTGGTAATATCATTTTCGAAAACGTGTTGCTGGTAATAGTTTTTTTCTTCAAAAATTTATTTCTGGTAATAATTTTTTTACAAAGCATTTCTAGTATTAAAACTTATTTTTTACACTTTTATAATGCTTTTTACCTCAATTTAGGGATTAGCTATTTGCCCATAGCTCGGACGCTAACAGGTGCTACCACCCCGGGTCAGGGTGGACCTGGGAACACCAGCAATGAAGAGATGGTTCCACGCTCCTCAAAGCCTTCTGATCAGAGGCCTTGGCTGTTGGACGTAGTTTATCGTCTTACCCAGGACGCGGATGCAGTTTATCGTCTCTCTCATGTATGTACAGATATAAATAGAAGAGTCCATTAAATTCTGTGCCTTTCTCTGATAACAAGGACAATTTAGAATCCGATTGATTTGTTGGCAAATATGGACCTTGGTATCCGCAAAAGAGTGTCAAAAGGACGGCTTTTCCCATGACACTGCTTTTATTTTAACCACCTTCATATTTTTTAATCGGTATCATCCCATGCAAGGCAGTAAAGCCACTAACATACAAGGGATTGCAGCGGGTGGGGGAATTAGGAGCAGAAACATTAATAATGTGTGGAAAGAGAAAAGAGTAATCAGGAAGACAGTAGATAGCGATTGACATTGCATTTAAATTTTTACAGATTAAAGTTGGCTGGAAAGCATGGAACCAGAAGGGAGTTTCACAAACGAGAAGCGCAAGAAAAGAAACTGTTAACATAGAACTTACGGCTACATCTAACTAGCTCAACTGTCGATTGATGGGATCTCGACGCCAGTCTAGTACTGCGCTTAAATTCATGAAGTACCACAGCGAAGAGCTCATCCGAAGAATTACCATGAAAATATTTATAGAAAAGGCACCTTACGGCGGTGAGAGAGTGACTGAAGCCGAGTCGCCAATAATATTGCTGATTCTTCTTTGGATCTTATCAAGGAGCTCACGGTAAATAGCAGGGCCACCGGACCATATGTGGCAGTAATATTCTAAGCATGGACGAATGGTAGACTTATAGATATGTTAGGTAGATTCTGGAGAGAAAAATTACCTCGCACGACACAGTGAACCAACTTTAGCAACTGACCTAGCAATGGATTCAATATAGTCTTTCTATTTAATGTCAGCTGAGAACATTAACCCGAGAATGCACAACGAGTCACTTTCCTGGAGGTTAGCATCAGCCATGCTGATAAAGGGGAAAGAGGAGTCTCTTAGATTATTAATGGGGGGAAGTTAAGTTTTGGAGGCGTTAAAATTAACAAACCATCTTTTGCTCCAGTTAACGACGGACTGGAAGTCGTTTTGGACATCGGCTGCCATTTTGACATTGTTACACTGATCAGCTTTATTATCGAGGCTGGAGTAAATGGTTGTGTCGTCAGCGTAGATGCTAAGTTGGGAGTTGATGTTATCAGGAAGATCATTAATGAAAATTAAAAACAGAGTAGGAGCAAAGATAGAACCTTGGGGGACACCCGCGTTAGTTCGAAAGGCTGTAGACGAGTGACCATTCAGGATAACTTTCATTTCACGATTTCATAGGGAAGACTGGATCAGTTCAAAAATGTGTCCGGTGACATCGAAACTTTTCAGCTTATGAAGATCTGTATGCCAAACCCTGTCAAAGGCTTTCGAGATGTCTAAAGCTACAGCCCGTGCTTCAACGTTTTTATCTAGAGAGACTCTTCAGCAATTATCGTCAGTACATCATCACTTGACTCTGAGAAACGAAAGCCATATTGCTCGTCTGAGAAAAGGCCCTGCGATGAGAGATGCTGAATCAATTCAGAATTGATTAGGGCCTCTAGGAGTTTGTCAATTGCAATCTTCTGTCTTCCTGGACACTGTTATTTTATTATCCTTTCTGCTCACTAAAGTTTTCTCATGAAGAGAATGAGAAAACTTTACAGTACACCTTGTGTCTTAGTGGCATTATCGCTTTGTTTGGAGGGAAAAGTAAAAAAAATAAATAGTTTCTCTCATCTTTATTCACATATCAACCAATTTCTTTATATTATTTTGATATTTTTCCAATTATCGTATTCCTTATTTCATGAAACGCATCTATAAACAGCAAAGAATAATGATTACCTTTCCATTTTTTTGGTGGTGGGGAGAAATAAGCATTGATGACATAAGTAAAAACCTATAATTAATACTGGATTTTTATTTGTATTTTTTATAATTAATACAGGATTTTACGGTTGACGTTAATGGGTTAAAAATAAAACTACAGGGTGCCGAGTAAAAAAACGGTAAATTCAGAAAGAAATTTATTTAGCTATCATGATTCATGCATAAATTGAACAATCATCGTAGATGTTCGAAATGTTTGCCTGAATGTTTAATACAAAGTTGTAAGCGTGGTAACTAGGAAGCAGTATCTTTACGGATAGTGTCAAGAGGAATTTTATTCCGAGCTTAAGTTAAGTTCCACTTCAATGAATCAATATCGCTGATGTCACGGCGACGGTTTTGCAAGTGAGATAGGAGTATACGCCAGATACAGTATTCGATAACACTCAAATCTGAGTTTTCACAGGGCCACTGAGATTAGACCAATTAGAGTTGGTGTATTTTCTCGAAGAATAAATTTGCCGCTTTTTTTACTGGTCCCCTGCATAAGAATAGACGAATATTTAAGTTTTTATGATTAATATTGGATATTATACTGGGCTTTAATGAGTTAAACTCACCTGAGAAATAATTGAATAAGCATTGATATGTTTTTAAATCAAAGAGGCAGTTTTATTAGTCACATTTTGATTACAAATAATTTTTTCAAAGTCATCGAAAATTGTATTGTAAATAATCAATAAACTGTTTTCATATCGTATAAATATTTCTTACATTGAATTTATTTTATTTCAGGAGCGAAAATTCGAAGGTGGCTCTCAGCAAATCAGTAAAGCGATTGCCAAATATTTAGGAGGTATGTTTTGGACATTTTTATTAAAAATTTATTACATTTTTAGTAAGTTGTTGCATAAATATGCCCTCCTCGTGATCCGAAGTTAATATTTCGAGTAGACAGTGTAGATCCTGTTTATATAGGAAGAAATGCTGTGACCTAAGTTCGCTGAAAATAAGTTTACTCTTACAACGAAACAAGAACTTCCTAAAAAGATGAAGTGGTAGGTATATACAACAAAATTGTTTTCATCTAAGCGATAGAAAACGAAAGTAAATACATACACAAGTTTAAATTTATGAAATATTTATTTTCTAAAATAGGAATAAAACAAAATTTTGGATGCGGGAAATGATGTGCCTTTTGTTAACAACAGAATCGGATTCTAGAAATCTACGTCTTTGAACAAAGACAAGTGCTATTTACTGACCGGTTGGAGAGGAGTACTTCCCGTCCGGGTTGATGACTCTAACCGATGAGAAAGAGAACATTTCTTTTTGAAAACACGGGTTGGCCTAAACTCGCTACAAAGAATTAAAGATCACTCGAGAAAAGATGTCAGTATTTTGTCTCTCTTTATGTAACGTGTCACCTCAGGAAGTAGGCGATCATAGCTCTCGACAATTTCCTGTCCCTTACAGAAAAGCTGAAGAATGATTATCGTTACCTCTTTAGCAATGCAGATAATCAAATAAACGGCTGTTGGTAGGTAAAGTCAATAACAGATTTCATTCAACGTAGTTGTCTGCCTTTATAGATTTATAGCAGAGTTAGTAATTAGTCATTGTCTCAGTTATTACAGCAAAACTCAATAATTGCGGCAGAATTTATAACTGAGATATAAAGTTTTTTGTTTTATGCATGTGGAAGTTGATTTTCTGTGATTGTAACTTGCAGAGTCTGGAAGTGCGTATTCAACTTCCAAAGCTCAAATGACAATAAATAAATAAAAAAACAAAAACAAAAAAAACGCTCAAGTTTTTTAAGTACGAATAAATGGGATTCAGAGAGAGCCTTCCAAAAATTGACAAAGAAAAAGTGTGGCCATATCAATGAAAATATGACAGGGTATATTATTCTACAAATCGCTTACATTAGAGAAAAAGTTGAAACGAATACTCTTAAGGAACAAGGAAACTTGTACCTGTAATCAGAAACAGTCAGCTGAAATATCTGGTAAACACAAGGGGGAAAGACGCCTAAAGCATTTAACACTCATAGGACACATTAAACGCAAGAGAAACAGTAGGAACATAATTAGGTTTTACCAGAAAGAATATTAAAAAAATATCAGATTTATTTAATTTTTTTTTATCAAAACTGTAAACGCCTTCCTTTTTAGTGACTGCAGCCCGAGATGAAAGCAAATTTTCAATTTCACGTTTAAGAAATCTGTGTTTTCCCCGAAAAAGTTTGAAATATTCTTTTCAGTTTCTTTATTCATAAATCTCCTGCCCCATATGAAATGTTCTAGTAATGAAAATCTGTGGGTGCTAAGTTGGTGAGTACGGGGTATACGGAAGAACCTCCAATCCAAACGATCTTTTTTCTTAGGCTTGTTTCGCAGAGTCTCACTTTGCAGTGTCAGGTTGGAGAATAACACCTTTCCATTTACCAAAGCAGAACCTCTTTCTGTGTAAAGCTTCGTTTATCCGATCAAATTGCTGGCAATAAATGTCTGCAATAATGATAGTTCCATATTCCATTTTTAAGACATAGAAAATATCGTTAGAAACAAAGAAGCGAGTATGGAACTGCTATGTAATATTGCCCATCTTGCAGTAAATGCCAGACAATTTTTTAAAGGATGAAGAAGACATGACGCAACAAAGACATAGTACTACTAACGAATACTCAGAATATCATGGACAGAACATGTGAGCAATGAGAAAGACTTAAGGAAAATAGGAAAAACATAGCAATTTATATTTACATTCAAAAAGAAAAAATTGAAATTTTTGGGCATATGACGAGGAAAGACGGCCCAAATAATTTAACACTCATCGAACATATTGAAGACAAAAATTCTGCACTGGTCCTTGCTATATGTCATGTCTAATTCTGCTACGAGCTCTACTCATGTGGATCATTACGAGCTGTCTTCCAGTATTTCACCACTGTCATATATTTGCTTTATTATTTTAGTAGTTTTACTGATCCCAAATCTGTGTAAGGCTAACAGCATTTCTATTACAACCCCATCTGGTCAGCTGTCTTGTTTCTGTTCATCTTGGCCAGTACCGACATTACCTCAGATTTTAGTATTACGGGCACTTCTATTTTATCGTGTATTGTAGATTTGTCTCCCCTTTTATTGCGAAAGAGTTTTCAGATGTATTTATTCCATCCATACAGAATCAAGTTGGAATATTGAATGCAATTTCCAGTACTGAGTTGCTTAAATCTTAGTATCCAAATTGATTATGTGTAATTCGCTAGTTAGTGTTTAAGCTGATTAATATTACAATGATTAGCGCTTTACACGATGAAATTTGTTTCTCTGTCTCACTGGTGCAGTTATCAATAACTTTAAGAATCTGGATCTCAGATAAGAACATAAAACATCCAATATTCATTGAGTTAGGATTTAAAATGTACAATACTCATTAAGAAAACTAATATATTTCAAACAAAAGCAAAGTTTGTCAGTTTGTCTTTAAAATAAAAAAAATACACTTCAAGATGGCATTTTTGAGATGCTTTCATCTTTTATCTAAAAATTAAAGTTTTTTAAAATAATTTTTTAATCAAGGCGATAATGCCACTAAGACGCAAAGGGTTACTAGAAATGAAAGAGAATGAGAACACTTTAGTATGGAGAAAGGAGAATAAAAGAACATTGTCCAGGAGAACAGAAGATAGCGATTGGCGTTGTACTTAGATTTTTGAAGACTGTAGAAGGCAGGGAGGCAAAAAAAAATAGAATAGAGTTCAACAGGCGATAAGTGAGAGAAAAAATATTAGAACAGAATTTACGATTGCATCTAGCTAGTAAATTTTCTAAATTTAGTAAATTATATATATATATAATTGCCAATCTAGTGGTACGCTTAAATGCATGCATTCGAGGCACCAAGGAGTAGAGCTCATCAGAACAATTGCCATGATAATATTTGTGGAAAAGACTGAGGGAAGTTACGTCACATCGGTGAGAAAGTGACTGAAGCCAGATCAGAATCGATTACATTACAGACCCTTCTTTTAGTTTTGTCAAGAATCTCGGGATATACTTCCGGTACACCAGATCAGTTGTAACAGCAATATTTAATGCACGGACGAATGGTAAATTTATAACATTTCAATATGGTACCTGACGATAAAATTCTCTGGTGGGCATTTTTGTGAGTAATCTTTGTGCATAATTATGATTTGCAAACAAAATTTAAAAGGGAGTCTACTCTTGCTTTAACAAGTGACAATTTTGTTATCGCCCTTTCGTTTAAAAATTAAAACATTTGGACTAAAAACGGAATAAGTGTCTGATAACCAAGTCAAGTGTTTTTTTATTATTCAAGTAAAATCATTCTGTAAATGAAACATACGAAATACCACGGTGTGTCTTCGTAAATAAAGATTTGAATACAAATTCGAATATTTTTATCATCACGAAAAGTTTAAATTGTATTTAGGAGTAGTCAACATTATAAGGTAGTAGGTCAGAGTGTCGAAGGACAAAGTATGGAAAGACAAAGACAAAATGTTTAGTTTAACAGATAAATTGTTGAATGGACTAAGTATCGAACGAACAAAGTGTCGAATGGACAAATTGCCGAACGGAAAAACAGTCGAATTGATTAAATGATTAATGGACATAATGTCGAAAAAACAAATGTTTCAAAAGGACAAAATGTTGAACAAAGTAAAAACGAGTAAATCATCAAGACAGTACTGAAATGATTTTAGTGCAGAATGCAGCAAGTCAGATGCCAAAGAAAATACAAAAATATACAACTGTAAATCAAAGACTAAAAGGCATTTTTGATAGATACGACAGCAGTACTGGATAAAATCTCCCAAAGCCATCGCTATAAATCTTTAATTATATTTTGCTACAGTTGTAATTTCCTCATAAATAAAAAAAAAATATTTTTATTTTTTACCAAATTTCTCATAAATAAAAAATAACTCTTTACTGTAGTTTGAATGCAGTTATTTGTTCAAAAACTGAATTTTCTTTTTACCGGAGTTTTTTTTTTTTATTTTTTTATATTAGTCTAAATTTAAAAATTGGCAGGATATTTCATGCAAAGTAAAAATTCTAAAAAAACCTTTCGTCATTTTTTGATGGCACTTTGTCCATTATTTTGTTCGTTCGATATTTAATCCGTTCGTCATTTTGTCTTTTGACACTTTGATAAATAAAAATCTGAACCCAAAATTTTTGAACATCATTTTCTTTTTTTTTCTTCACGATTAATCTATAGTGGCGTGGGGTTGATGTTAAAATGAACAGTTGATTTACCCATGCAAGAAGGTTAATAGAGGCAGATAATTCACATGGGTTATTTTTAATAAAAAAAATAAGAAATTTTTTATTTTTCAGAAAATTTTAAAAGTCCATATTTCAAATTTAAAGAGGAACTGTTCATTGAACAGATTAATAAATCATCTGAAATACAAAAAAAAACTTCGTTTTTACAAAAGGATTATACGATTGCATACATTCAAAGTAGATAAAGAGAGGTTTGAAGTTTGTTCTTTGAAGTGCATGGTTAGGGCCGATAATATAATCAGCGAGCAATTTGATACTGGCGAAAATCTAAACGCTGAACGCGTGAACAGAAATGAAACTTTTCACATGACTTCGGACGCTCTTTTGTTGATTTAATTTTTCTCCTTATTTTATATCAAAAAGGATTTTACATAGGATCGTTATTTTCTTTTCTTTCTTTTTCTAGATTCAACGGCTAATTGTTGTAAAAACAACTTTTTCATTGGTACAAAGAAAATTTGACATAGGCTAGCGAATTTGTTTTCTTTTTTTTTCTTCAGCTCGCCGGACAAACTCTTTAAACTCAAAA